GTAGATGTGGAGCTTCCAGCTTGTAGGACGTGGAGCTTCCAGCTTGTAGGATGTGGAGCTTCCAGCTTTTAGACGTGGAGCTTCCAGCTTGTAGACGTGGAGCTTCCATCTTGTAGATGTGGAGCTTCCAGCTTGTAGACGTGGAGCTTCCATCTTGTAGATGTTGAGCTTCCAGCTTGTAGACGTGGAGCTTCCAGCTTGTAGACGTGGAGCTTCCAGCTTGTAGGAAGTGGAGCTTCCAGCTTGTAGGACGTGGAGCTTCCAGCTTGTAGATGTGGAGCTTCCAGCTTGTAGGACGTGGAGCTTCCAGCTTGTAGGACGTAGAGCTTCCAGCTTGTAGGACGTGGAGCTTCCAGCTTGTAGATGTGGAGCTTCCAGCTTGTAGATGTGGAGCTTCCAGCTTGTAGATGTGGAGCTTCCAGCTTGTAGACGTAGAACTTCAGCTTGTAGGACGTGGAGCTTCCAGCTTGTAGGATGTAGAGCTTCCAGCTTGTAGGACGTAGAGCTTCCAGCTTGTAGACGTGGAGCTTCCAGCTTGTAGGAGGTGGAGCTTCCAGCTTGTAGACGTGGAGCTTCCAGCGTGTAGACGTAGAGCTTCCAGCTTGTAGGACGTGGAGCTTCCAGCTTCTAGACGTGGAGCTTCCAGCTTGTAGACTTAGAGCTTCCAGCTTGTAGGACGTGGAGCTTCCAGCTTGTAGGACGTGGAGCTTCCAGCTTGTAGACGTGGAGCTTCAAGCTTGTAGACGTAGAGCTTCCAGCTTGTAGGACGTAGAGCTTCCAGCTTGTAGGACGTAGAGCTTCAGCTTGTAGACGTAGAGCTTCCAGCTTGTAGGACGTAGAGCTTCCAGCTTGTAGATGTGGAGCTTCCAGCTTGTAGGACATGGAGCTTCCAGCTTGTAGGATGTGGAGCTTCCAGCTTGTAGACGTAGAGCTTCCAGCTTGTAGGACGTAGAGCTTCAGCTTGTAGGACGTGGAGCTTCAGCTTGTAGGACGTGGAATTTCAGATTGTAGGACGTGGAGCTTCAGCTTGTAGGACCTGGAGCTTCCAGCTTGTAGGACGTGGAGCTTCCAGCTTGTAGGACGTGGAGCTTCCAGCTTGTAGACGTAGAGCTTCCAGCTTGTAGGATGTGGAGCTTCCAGCTTGTAGGACGTGGAGCTTCAGCTTGTAGGGCCTGGAGCTTCCAGCTTGTAGGATGTAGAGCTTCCATCTTGTAGGTGTTGAGCTTCCAGCTTGTAGATGTGGAGCTTCAATTTTTAGATGTGGAGCTTCCAACTTGTAGGATGTGGAGCTTCCAGCTTGTAGACGTGGAGCTTCCAGCTTGTAGGACATAGAGCTTCCAGCTTGTAGGATGTGGAGCTTCAGCTTGTAGACGTGGAGCTTCAGCTTGTAGGACGTAGAGCTTCCAGCTTGTAGGATGTAGAGCTTCAGCTTGTAGACGTAGAGCTTCCAGCTTGTAGACGTGGAGCTTCCAGCTTGTAGGATGTAGAGCTTCAGCTTGTAGACGTAGAGCTTCCAGCTTGTAGACGTGGAGCTTCCAGCTTGTAGACGTGGAGCTTCAGCTTGTAGGACGTGGAGCTTCAACTTGTAGGACGTGGAGCTTCCAGCTTGTAGACGTGGAGCTTCCAGCTTGTAGACGTGGAGCTTCCAGCTTGTAGGACGTAGAGCTTCCAGCTTGTAGGACGTAAAGCTTCCAGCTTGTAGGACGTAGAGCTTCCGCTTGTAGGACGTGGAGCTTCCAGCTTGTAGATGTGGAGCTTCCAGCTTGTAGACGTAGAGCTTCAGCTTGTAGGACGTAGAGCTTCCAGCTTGTAGGACGTAGAGCTTCCAGCTTTGTAGGACGTAGAGCTTCCAGCTTGTAGACGTGGAACTTCCAGCTTGTAGGAGGTGGAGCTTCCAGCTTGTAGACGTGGAGCTTCCAGCTTGTAGACGTAGAGCTTCCAGCTTGTAGGACGTAGGGCTTCCAGCTTCTAGACGTGGAGCTTCCAGCTTGTAGACTTAGAGCTTCCAGCTTGTAGGACGTAGAGATTCCAGCTTGTAGGACGTAGAGCTTCCAGCTTGTAGACGTGGAGCTTCCAGCTTGTAGGAGGTGGAGCTTCCAGCTTGTAGACCCCTGGCCCGACACTCTCCCACTCCCCCTTGTGGGAGCCCGCACTGCACGCTACGCGTGGTGCCCGCGCTATCCCAGCGCTCACCAAGCCCCACTAGGGCTGGTCTAGGGGGTGTACGCGATGACGGTGCATCGCACGCCATGCTGTCCTAGAGCCAGCCTCACGCAGCAACCCACCCCAGTGCTGTCCACGGCATAAGAACGTCACACAGTGACATCCCCGATGTCACTACAAACGTGTTGCATCCAAATCTACGTCTGCGACTCAGTTGAACCCACATTTCTCAACTCCCTTGAATTGATGATCTAAACTTCTAAATTACTACTTCGAGTCATGAGAGTTTGGCTTTGTGTGAGAGAAAAGCGGAGAAACCAGAGGGTACCAGGCATGCACAGGAGGGGGCCCACACTCAGAGATCCGCACAGGAAAGATTCAGGAATAGACACGCCTGTGCGTTCATCACCATGCCACCTGGCAACCCCAACACACTGCAGCAGCTGCTGCTGGCAAGCAGCCTCCACGCGAACAACGAGCAGCTCGGCGAAACTGCTGGCCGTCGTGGCCGTGCAGAGTTAGCATCGTTTATCTCAAAGTGCAGTCCTGGGGGATGAATAAAAAGCAAAGTCACGGATAACCGCGACATCTCCCCTACTAAATTACACTGTGAGTGGCTGGGTGTGAGTGTGCAGGGTGGTGATGTGAGTGGTTGGGTGTGAGTGTGCAGGGTGACACCGAGTGGCTGGGTGTGAGTGTGCAGGGTGACACTGTGAGTGGCTGGGTGTGAGTGTGCAGGGTGATACTGTGAGTGGCTGGGTGTGAGTGTGCAGGGTGACACTGTGAGTGGCTGGGTGTGAGTGTGCAGGGTGACACTGTGAGTGGTTGGGTGTGAGTGTGCAGGGTGACTGTGAGTGGCTGGGTGTGAGTGTGCAGGGTGACACTGAGTGGCTGGGTGTGAGTGTGCAGGGTGGTGATATGAGTGGCTGGGTGTGAGTGTGCAGGGTGATACTGTGAGTGGCTGGGTGTGAGTGTGCAGGGTGACACTGTGAGTGGTTGGGTGTGAGTGTGCAGGGTGGTGATGTGAGTGGCTGGGGTGGTGAGTGTGCAGGGTGACACTGTGAGTGGCTGGATGTGAGTGTGCAGGGTGACACTGAGTGGCTGGGTGTGAGTGTGCAGGGTGACACTGAGTGGCTGGGTGTGAGTGTGCAAGGTGACACTGTGAGTGGCTGGGTGTGAGTGTGCAGGGTGACACTGAGTGGCTGGGTGTGGGTGTGCAGGGTGACACTGAGTGGCTGGGTGTGAGTGTGCAGGGTGACACTGAGTGGCTGGGTGTGAGTGTGCAGGGTGAGACTGTGAGTGGCTGGGTGTGAGTGTGCAGGGTGACACTGTGAGTGGCTGGGTGTGAGTGTGCAGGGTGACACTGAGTGGCTGGGTGTGAGTGTGCAGGGTGACACTGAGTGGCTGGGTGTGAGTGTGCAAGGTGACACTGTGAGTGGCTGGGTGTGAGTGTGCAGGGTGACACTGAGTGGCTGGGTGTGAGTGTGCAGGGTGACACTGTGAGTGGCTGGGTGTGAGTGTGCAGGGTGACACTGAGTGGCTGGGTGTGAGTGTGCAGGGTGACACTGTGAGTGGCTGGGTGTGAGTGTGCAGGGTGACACTGTGAGTGGCTGGGTGTGAGTGTGCAGGCTGACACTGTGAGTGGTTGGGTGTGAGTGTGCAGGGTGGTGATGTGAGTGGCTGGGTGTGAGTGTGCAGGGTGACACTGAGTGGCTGGGTGTGAGTGTGCAGGGTGGTGATGTGAGTGGGTGTGAGTGTGCAGGGTGACACTGAGTGGCTGGGTGTGAGTGTGCAGGGTGGTGATGTGAGTGGCTGGGTGTGAGTGTGCAGGGTGACACTGAGTGGCTGGGTGTGAGTGTGCAGGGTGACACTGTGAGTGGCTGGGTGTGAGTGTGCAGGGTGGTGATGTGAGTGGCTGGGTGTGAGTGTGCAGGGTGACACTGAGTGGCTGGGTGTGAGTGTGCAGGGTGGTGATGTGAGTGGCTGGGTGTGAGTGTGCAGGGTGACACTGTGAGTGGCTGGGTGTGAGTGTGCAGGGTGACACTGAGTGGCTGGGTGTGAGTGTGCAGGGTGGTGATGTGAGTGGCTGGGTGTGAGTGTGCAGGGTGACACTGTGAGTGGCTGGGTGTGAGTGTGCAGGGTGGTGATGTGAGTGGCTGGGTGTGAGTGTGCAGGGTGACACTGAGTGGCTGGGTGTGATTGTGCAGGGTGACACTGTGAGTGGCTGGGTGTGAGTGTGCAGGGTGATACTGTGAGTGGCTGGGTGTGAGTGTGCAGGGTGACACTGAGTGGCTGGGTGTGAGTGTGCAGGGTGACACTGAGTGGCTGGGTGTGAGTGTGCAGGGTGACACTGAGTGGCTGGGTGTGAGTGTGCAGGGTGACACTGTGAGTGGCTGGGTGTGAGTGTGCAGGGTGGTGATGTGAGTGGCTGGGTGTGAGTGTGCAGGGTGACACTGAGTGGCTGGGTGTGAGTGTGCAGGGTGACACTGTGAGTGGCTGGGTGTGAGTGTGCAGGGTGGTGATGTGAGTGGGTGTGAGTGTGCAGGGTGACACTGAGTGGCTGGGTGTGAGTGTGCAGGGTGACGCTGCGAGTGGCTGGGTGTGAGTGTGCAGGGTGGTGATGTGAGTGGCTGGGTGTGAGTGTGCAGGGTGACGCTGCGAGTGGCTGGGTGTGAGTGTGCAGGGTGGTGATGTGAGTGGCTGGGTGTGAGTGTGCAGGGTGACACTGTGAGTGGCTGAGTGTGAGTGTGCAGGGTGGTGATGTGAGTAGTCACCACGAGGTGAGTGAAGATCCCCAAAAACACGAACGTGCACACGGGACACCGAGTTTCTCACACCTTGAGGTCGACAAGCCTGGTCCTCGCCAGGGACACGTATTCCATCAGCGCAGCGCGTTGCTTCAGCTCCACAAACGGGGGGTTTAGGATGTGAATCTTCCCACGAGAAGGAGGAAAAACAACAATCACGGCACTGCATAGTGTGGCTTAGCGAAGAGCAATTCAGAGATCAATATCCCTCGTGTGAATTGCTGCTGCTGCCACCGCCGCCGCTGCTGTGCCTCCCATTGCATTTGCAAAGTGGTTTACAATGCGCACATTGACTAAGGATGATGTGCTCCGCAGCTCGCTGTGCACAGGAGGGTTTGGTCAGTTTCTCCGCTGACACGTTCCCGGCTTCCTTTCCAACTCCTGGAGGCGCCGGGCGACGAGATGATGGGGTGTGCATATTCGGCCAGGTCACATGCTCAACTGTTCTCGGGAAGCTTGGCACACCACGTGGGTTTCAGTGGTGGGATCGGATGCTAGCCGCATGTTCTTAGCAAACAATAGTTTGAAGCACGGAAACAAAAAAACACTTTTACCACCGCCATCATCAGCCGTGAACACGACCTTGTGACAGAAAAACGTACAGTAGGATGACGTTTCAGTCAAGAGCTCTTCTCTGATATTTAGAAAGCAAGGGGCAGCCAGAACAGACTTGATTCACCCTCAACAGTGAAACAAATACCGAGGCAAGTCATCCTAACCGCTACAATTTTGTAATCTGCGATTCCCCTTGCGAGCCGCACAATAGCGTCTTGCTATTACCCGTGGCTCTGTGAAAAGCAAAGAGTGCCATTGCCCAGATTCTCCGCAGACCATAGATCCTGTTACCTGCAGGATATCATGATGGAATCACTGCCATGTGACACTACTATCTATAAAACATATCGGTAATAAGAGGTCTCCCTTTTTATCAATTTCATTTGCACCATAACTGCCGGCATTTAACCTGTTTCAACTCTAACCTGCTAGGATAGTCGCATTTTCACCAACTCTTTTGAGTTGATGATCTATAAAACATTGCCACACACCCATCATCAATAAATGCTTCTGTTGCGATGGGTTTTCTTATCATTTACAGATTTGAACTAATGCCCGGCCCACGCTGATCAATGGTCTCGGTAATGGTGAGCCAATGGATCAGCACGTGGCGTCAAAGCTTCCCCAGCATTCGTGTGCAGACAACTCGGAGAGGTGGCCCATTGGGTGGCGCATTCGCCACTTGTCGCACAGCTTCTCGGGTTGAATCCCGGCGGCCACCCTGGTTATTGCATACGATGAATTCACCTTAAATGCACTCCGTCTGTTTCACAGTGAATGTCATAGATACCCTGACATTCTATTTTTGTTTATTTTACCAGGTAAGGGCCACTGAGCTATATAGCTCTTTTTCAGAAGTGCCCTGATGATAGCTCAACGAAGTGGCACATCACATGGAAATGTAATGCCGCCAAATACTTTTAAGCGCACGGAGAAAAATCCACGTGACCACGGGGAGAGACACATGCAAACTACAAATATACAACAGGCATCAAGATTCGGGATAGAACCCACGACCTCCTGCATGCCAGGCGAGGGAGTTGACATCTAACCACCACGGTGCTCCGAATTGGCCATTAGAAACAGATTGGCCATTGTGCCAAGCATCATGGTTACAATTGCCTATTTCGAAAAAATTTCCTGCAAATGACTCAATTGGGATTACGCATGGACATCATTGCCCTCCACTGACAGCCTCACGTCCACTTTCAGACCAGTGCCAAGTCACCTCGTTGTGCCACATTGGGACAGCTGCCACTGGTGGGGGGGGGGGGGGCTTTGAATGTTTACGAGCCGAGATGTAAGGAGCTTCGAGAGGCATTTAAGGCAATACCATATGAACATAAAGACTGTTATACATAAGAGGTTTTTTTTTATTAAATCCTGTAAATAGAAATGCGTCGTTAAACTCGCCACCACCCGACAAAGCCAATTACGAAGGTTTGTCATGTAAACAAAACATGCCAATTCGTTACTAGTTCAGCACACCCGTGAGTTAGAGAATAAACCCACAACATTTACAATTCGAGTACCGGTAATAATAACCAACCTAATCAGGCCTACGTGTTAAACTGACAGAATATTGTTTGTGATTATTGTGACCCCTCTGCTCGACTCACCTTGAGGTAGTGCGGAGGCTCAAATGGCACCAGCTCCGACAGGAACTTGAGGAGGAACAACAGCGACTTCTTGCTGCCCACGTGGAACCCTTTGGCGTCACCGAAAGAGCTCTGGAGACAGCAACGCCCGAGCGAGAATCAAATCCCTGACGATGCTGCATTCACAGATGGCTCCCAGCGGCGCCCACCGGCCACAACAAGTAAACTCCTCCGCACGCAGCCATCGAGCATCTCCAGCAACTGGGATCCAGCTTGGGGCAATGGGGGGTGATCTTAACCCCCCGACCCCCGCCTCCTTGGAACCCCAAAACGTGGCATTGTATTAATATTTACCAGAGAACATGTGTTTTTGTTAATAATGCAGGGCCCTATTAATTGAAATGTCACGAGCGCAGAGGTCTGACTCTGCCCGTCTGGCTCACTCAGAGAAGCCGCGAGTGCTGCACACAGCTCGGAGTTAAAACCCTGGGACGCTTTGCAAAGGAAGGGAAATTATTGCACGGGTGAAACGCCACCACCATGAACGCTCCGCCACCACCAGACAAATAATCTTTTATTTTTTTTAAATCGCTAACGTCTCACCTCTGATATGTTGTCGTCATCTACCATAATCAATCCACTGCTGGATGAAGGCCTCACCTAGGCTGCTGCCACCACTACGAACCTGTGATGTAATAAGTCACCAAGCACCGATACATGGAGCTGATTTTATTTCTCCATCTCCTCACTGCACTGCCTCTCAGATCCATTGCAACGTTATTCTTGACCACCGGCCATTGTCCATTCGTACGACGCGTCCCACCCGAGCAAACACATCTTTCTTTCCTGTTAGAATGAGATCATGAATCTGCGTATGGTCCCTAATCAATCCATCATGAGTTCCATTCTCCATCTCTCCGTGTAAATGCAAGTATGCTAAACTAATTATGTCAGGATATGAAAAGGCCGGGGAGACTTATTCATGGTATGTAGACACGTATCGCGAACGTTCACGTGCATTGAAAAAACATGAAATGTTTATCTCGTGCGTCCGAAACCCAATGTGTGCCTGTAGATTCCGTGTCAGACCGGGGAACAACTGATTCTCAAGAGGAACAAAATAAGCAGACAACAAGCCTCCCTCACATCGATTTCGGTCCACATAAAATAAAGAGCATTTTCTACACATCCCATCAGTCACACAGCCCCCAGCATTGCTTCGACATAAACAAACTCTGCATCGTTTTTGACCTCAGCAGGATTGGTTCGATATAATAAATAATAAAACCTCTATTTTATAAAGTGCCTTTCATATTGAAACATCTCAAAGCCCTCTACATCAAAAATAAACGACACACAAGTATAGATAAAATATAAGCAAAATAGAAATCTAAAAACAATATCAATGACGACAATCGAAATTTAAAAAAAACTCTGAGAAAAGCGAATAATAATAATAATTTCGATTTAAAGCTTTCGTCACTGCAGGGATTCATCTTCTTGGTTCTTTCGGTAAAGTCACGTAGAAGGGAAGTAATAAAATAATAAAAATAAAATTATTATTATTTTTATTATGTTTTATTTTTATTATTTATTACTTCCCTTCTACGTGACTTTACCGAAAGAACCAAGAAGAATAATAATAATAATAAAGACTTACCTAGTAAGGCCCACAGAGCTATAAAGCTATTTTAAGAACCGACGTCAGAAGCGCAAATGATCATTTAACAAAGAGGCTTATCACGTGGAATTTTCTGGCAGCCAAATACTGTAAATGCATGTTTATAAATGTGGAGGGAAAAACCAGGGGATCCGGAGAAAAATCTACACGACCACGGGGAGAGAAACACACAAACTCCAAATATACCACAGGCATCAGGGTCAGGATGAAACCCACGACCTCCTGTATACCAGGCGAGGTAGTTAACATCTCGCCGCCACAGGGCCCGCAATAACAACAAATACAGAGTAATCAAATCAGACAACAAAACTGGTTTTCAAATCTTAAGTTACGAGAAAAATTCTGCACAAGTGGGTAAGTTTTAAGACGCAATAAAAAAGTGAAACAGACTCAGAATCTGTCCTAGAAAGGGGGATTCCACAATCACGGGGCCTGGCTGCAGCAGGCTCTACGTGTCTCCCATACAACATCAACACCACCACAGTCTTGTCTTTGCAATGATGAGTAGACCAGAATCAGCTGATCTAAGTTTCTCAGTGGTATATAAAAGTAGAGCAGATTGGCCAGAGGGAGCCAGTGCAGGGACAAAAGACTAGGAATCATATGTGGGCATACAATTTAGATCTGGTTAAAACCCAGGCTGCTGACTTTTAAATATTTTTTTATCTATTTAAAACCTTTTTTAGAAATGCCAGCAAGCAAGGCATTACAGTAATCCAACCTATATGAAAAAAAGTAAAGCACCAGCTTCTCAGCATCAGGAATGGACAGCATAGGTCTTAGTCGAGGTATGTTGGTAATTTTCAGTCGATCATCGAACACATTCCTGCGGAGAAAGCTGGTAGGAACGTTGGGTTGCTCGGTCAATGGCCAGGGTCAACGGCGGCGTGGTGTATTCCGAAAATATGCCCGACTGTGAGGGCGGGCACAAGCCGGCGTGAGTAGGTTAAACGTTGAGTTTTATAAGGGAACCAAGGCATGACCAGCGCCTCCCCACCCAGCCCCACCCCTCCCACCCAGCCACACCCAGCTCCACCCTCCCCACCCAGCCCCTCCCTCCCCACCCACCCCATCCCTCCCCACCCTCCCCACCCAGCCCCTCCCCACCCTCCCCTCTCTACCCAGCCCCACCCATTTTTGGATGCACGAGGGACAGACACAATAATCCCCTGTGGGCTGGTGGAAACAGGTGGTTCTTACCAGTATTATCCAGTGGCTTAGGAGGGAAGGGGGCGCCAGATTTAAAAAAACGCCGGAAAATCACAATTATTTAAATTAACTAATTTTTGCATATTATTGCATAACATTATGTTTTTAGGTGTTGTGCATGTTTTTTTAGTATTTTAAATTTGTTTACGATATGACATTGGCCTGAATAAAATACTATTTTTTTTCAAATATCCTCCTGTAGAAAGTTACCATATTTACTGCACTGTACTTACCACTCCAATATCGAAGACTCTGCATGGGGTGATGTAATATTCATTGTTCTGTGATGTCTGTATATTGCTCGCTAACGCAATCGAACGCGTTGCTTTCATAGTGACATAGAAATCGGTCACTTAGCAGCACAGCGCTGGCTGCTGGCAGGGAAGAGGATCTGCAGCTACAGCAGCCCTGACTGACAGCAGGTCACGTGATAGACCAGAGAGGGATGTAGGGGAAAGGTCACGGAAGGGGCACATCAAGAACCCGCTAGTAGGTTCCAGAAGGGGGCGTGGCCTGGGCGGAGCCAGGCCACGCTGACAGTGTAAGAGGGGCCCCGGGAGGGGACCTCGGGGCTGTTGTGTGGAGTGGGATCCCGTCGTGCTGCTGCTGGAATATTCTTCTCCGTCTCCATCTTCACCGTCTCGGCGTCGCCAGTCAGCCAGTCAGGCAGTCTACCAGCTGTCCTGACTGGGAACCGTAGTTACCCAGTGTGAACTGTTAAGGCCGTTTAATAAACAGTGTCTCCTACTTTTAGTGTCTCTGAGTCAGTCACTACACTTTGAAGGAGGAGCCTACTTGTACATATGCTCTTGTTTAGAAAAACCATGTGTTTGACGATTGCCAGACTGATGCAGCCTTTACTCCGACGCTCTGGCGAACCCCGAATTCCACATACTTTTCACCGGATCGCACTGTATATTTTCTCTTGACTTAAAGCTTTCGTGACTGCAGGAATTAATTCGGTAAAGTCACGTAGATACCTGAAGATGATTGCTTGTGTTGCGATCGAAACGTCGTGATTTAAAAAAAATTCTATCTACGCGACTTTACCGAAAGACCCAAAGAATATGTATATTTTGTTTTTATTAGTTATTAGTCACGAAAATTTAACAAGAGCAGTATTTTCATTGGTTAAGTTTTTGTATGTAGTGCATAATGTACTGTACATAATATTTGACACTGAAATCAAGAATAGCTACTTTTTGTTTGTCACGCACATGGTGCCGATTGCAGGACAAGTTACAGCCTTCGGAAAGGGTTTCCAGCGATCGCCAGACTGCACGCCGGATTCGCTGGATCAGCCCGGAACTCACCTGGAACCACCGCGTGTAGCTGGCTGACCCCCCAGCGTCACCCAGCGCTGCCTGGCGTGCCAGCAGCAGCGCCAGAACGAGGCTCTCGACCTCGTAGCTGCAGAACGCCTGCGTCAGCAGCCTCCGCAGCATGTCTGCAGGGTAGGAGCCGCAGGCACAGAGTTACGGGCTACAGTGGGGATCCTTCTCTTACCGAGCGCCCCAAGAGGACTTTCAGGCAGTTTTGCCAAGCCGCACATTCCTTTTCTTCTTTTGTATGGCCTATGAAAGAACGATTAGACATTCAGTTGTTAAGTGATTTACCCATTCGGATTTGGTGGTAGGGTGACTCAGTGGAAACACTAGTGCCTCATGGCAAGTAGTATGTATGTTCTCCCCCTGTTTTCCAGAGTGTGAGTGTGTATGTGTGAGGTTGTGTGTGAAGGACACTGCTACTGGCTAGTTGGAGGCAGTGGCCCTCCAACAACAACGGAGGGCAGAGGAACGATGCTCACAACAACGATCGGAGTGCCGGGCAGCTAAAATGCAGCAAGTTCGCACAATAGGGGGTACAACTGGTGCATCTGCCAGTCATCTCAGTTAGCCAACCGATGGCACCTGGATCTGTCCCGTGACCTCCTGTCAGCGAGCCTTCGACACTTCACGTGGCCTCAAAGTGCACCTGGCCTGGGCTGGCTGGCACCGGCGCTGTGGTGACGTCACCGCCACTTAGTGGCAAATGGCGGGTATTGGTGTGTGTTAGTTTGAGTGCCTGTACGTCCCCCCCTGTTCTGTATGGATTTCCTACGAGTTATCTGGTTTCCGCCCATCGCATGTGCGTGCATTTAGCGATGGGAGGGTGTTTGGCCAACTGGTATTGGCCAAACATCCCAATGCTGAAAAATTACCTGGAAATTACTGAATTAAGAATGCACACTTGGCAGGACCCTCTTGAATCAGTCTTGAGAGACTCGTGGAGGCTTTTCTGGATAAACAAGTTGCAATATCAATCATAAGCCACAGTACACGGTCTGCTTATATGCTTACCGCTTTGATTGAAATATTTTTCTCCCACCAAGTATATGTAATAATGTTCAGGAGGACTTGGACGCCGGGGTTGGAGGCACACTTATTTATTCAGTACAAGGTACAACACAGACCGGGACGTACAACACTGGAAGGGGTGTCGGCCCCTTCACCAGTCTAACTGGGAAGTCACGCTCTAGGCTACACCTAGCCTACCTCTAGGTCCTCCACTATCGAGCTAGGGGAGGCTAGCTAACCCAGCCCTGGTTAAGCTGGGATTACGGCGCCCGGAGTCCCCAGACCGGCTCTGACAAGAGCATCGGCTCTGGCTCTCGAGGCCACGCCACTGGCTCGGTCCTGGTCGGCCCTGAGAAGGGCAGCGATCCAGGGGAGTCCGAGGGCTCTGTCTAGTAGATCTTCCTTCTTCACTGGTTTAAGCTTAATACATACTGCCCTGAGCCCTCCGGCTCACCCCTTTATATATCCCTCCCCCGTTGAGGGGTGGGGCCGCGGGGGATCCCAGCTCCGTGTCAGCCCCCCAGGCTGAACGGTGCGGACGTCGCTGTGAGCACCTCCCCGCGCACAGACATAGCCACGCCCAGTGTGTTTGTTTACCGTCCGACACAACTGTATAACACCCCCTCCGTAACACCCCTACATATATACAGTAAACCTTCTCTATCCACGGGGGTTATGTTCTTGAAAATGCTCTCGAATGCATAAACCGTGGTCAACAGGAAAAAAGGGCAACGTTCCTGGTACGAGTGAACATGGGGGGGGGGGGGGGGGGGAAATGGTTAATGTTTAATAATAATTACCACAAAAAATAATACTTTACAAAGAACAATGTTTTTTTTTATTACCTTTGATGATGGTAATTTGACGACGATGGAGATGGTAGTGATGAATTCAGGAGGATGACTCAACGAGAGATAAAGGTGTTTGATAACAACACCACAGAGTTTGTTATCATTTTAGCACTCTGGGGGAGAGCTCGCTGCAACACACTTTCTCTGATTGCATTTTGTGTTCCTTTTTGATGGACCTCACAGTCAACTCGTTTATACCAAAATGTATAAACGAGTCGACTTGTCAGTACGTATAAAGTAAAAGTGCACACTGGCGAGTTCTGAGCGAGATGAGTGCGAGACTTGAGGACGAAGCGGGCAGCAGAGGGGGCGTGCCCAATCTTGGCGGCAGACCGTTTCAAATGTAGTAACAAGATCCTGCACCTCCCCGGTGTGGGTGGTCTGTAGGCACTACGTACAACTCTTAAATACTGGAATCTGGCGGGTAGCGAATAGGGAATTGGTATACATTTAGTAACTCGCGAATCCAGAACTCGAGCATAGTGATGGCTTTTTTATTAGTATTTTGTATTATTGGGTGCAATTGTGAACAGACATATCAGACATTAAATTTCGATTTAAAGCTTTCGTGACTGCAGGGATTCATCTTCTTGGTTCTTTCGGTAAAGTCACGTAGAAGGGAAGTAATAAAATAATAAAAATAAAACATAATAAAACAATTCTCACGACGTTTCGGCCACAACGCAAGCAGCCGTCCTCAGGTGAAAACCAGGTCCGTCGAGGCGACAGAGTCTGAATGAAACAGCACACGGGCTTGGAGCATATATATAAGCTGGGCGCATTGACAAAGGAATTTGCATATCAACAGGAATTTAGCATATTTATGGGAAATGCAGGAATGTGATTAGTACTGCATATGAATGTGCATTATGCAGGATTAACAGCATCAAAGGGAGCTGCAGTTACTGCTGCTGCAGCAGTTGCTGCTGCTGCTGCAGTTACTGCTGCTGCTGCAGTTGCTGCTGCTGCTGCAGTTGCTGCTGCTGCTGCACTTGCTGCTGCTGCTGCACTTGCTGCTGCTGCTGCACTTGCTGCTGCTGCTGCTGCACTTGCTGCTGCTGCTGCAGTTGCTGCCTTATCCATTTTAATATAACACTATGTATTATTCTACCCACCCTAATGTGTATCATACTGCTATATGTTTACTGTACAATTACGACACCATACATTACTCTGCACACTGCACCATGCCAGTGAGTGGAACGCGGTCTGAAAGTCACCGTTAACGTGAACACAATCAGTTAAGATCCGAAATGGTTTATTACGTCCTTCCAATGATTGCTAAGCCAGAATCCATCTTCTCGGTTGAAATTGTCTCTGTGTTTGTATATGTGGATCGCCTCATGAACGAATCTCTCATGATAGCCAGATGGCTTGCAGAGAACCTCTGTCTTGGAGAAGTCAATGTCATGTGAGCCCACTGAATTGTAACAGTGATCTGCCACGGCTGAGGTGTTTGTCCTACCGTGTTTCAGGTCTGCCTTATGTTCACGGATGCGGTCCGAGACATGTCGTTTGGTTTCTCCAATGTAACTGCTACCACAGAGGCAACTTAGTTTGTAGACGCCAGGGTACTGTATGTCTGGAACCACATCTTTTACAGACGGGACCAGATCACGGATTTTATGTACTGTGTTGAATCGGACCTGGATCTTGTGTTTAATCAGGATTTTGGAGATCTTTTTTGTGACCCCAGCAATGTAGGGTAAGGTGATGGTCTTGAAAGGCTCCTCAACAGGATCCTTCTTGATGGTTGGAGTGATGGCTTTGCGGATTGTGTAGTCGGAGTAACCATTAGCCTTAAGAGCTTGGCGTACGTGTTTGAGTTCACTGGAAATGTGTTCATGGTCGGAGATGCATTGGGCTCTATGATATAGAGTCTTGATGAGGGAATTCTTCTGGGATGGATGGTGGTGGGAATCCGGTTTTAGATAAGCATCCGTGTGGGTGGCTTTCCTGTAGACAGAGTGGCTCATTGAACCATCAGGTCTCCTTTTGATTAGGACATCCAAAAAGGGTAGCTTGCCATCATTTTCGACTTCCATGGTGAATCTGATGGCTGGGTGTATGGAATTGATGTGGTCGAGAAATTGGTCTAGAGCAGGCCGGCCATGTGGCCAGATGACAAAAGTGTCGTCTACGTACCTCTTCCATAAGGTCGGGCGTAGAGTGGCAGTCTGGATGGCGTCCGTCTCAAATTTCTCCATGAAGATGTTGGCTACAACCGGAGATAGGGGGGAGCCCATTGGGGTGCCCTCAATTTGCTTGTAGAAGGTTCCATTCCAGGTGAAGTATGTATTGGTTAAGCAGTGTCTCACCAGGGGGGGTACCCCAGCATTCAGTCCTTGATGAACCAAGTCTTCAATGATTGCGATGGTGTCAGGCACAGGCACCTTGGTGAACAAGGAAACCACATCAAAACTGACAAGCAGGTCGTCTGGGGACAGGGCAATCCCCTTGATTGTCGATACCAGAGGTCAGTAGAGTTTAGTACTGCAGAGGTGGTTTTTCCAGTGAAAGGCCGTAGGATTTCGGACAAAAAACGAGCCAGTTTGTAAGTGGGGGAGTTGATAGTAGAGACAATGGGACGAAGAGGTGTATCTTCTTTATGTATCTTTGGCAAGCCGTACAATCTTGGTGGCCTGGCTGCAGAAGGTTTCAACGAGAACTGTTTGGTCTGATCAATTAATGCGGTTGAAGCAGAAATGATGTTGTTGGTTTTGGAGACGAGGCTGTTGGTGGGGTCTCTTTTTATTTTTGTATAGCTGCCATCGTTGAGTAGTTCTTGAATTTTGTTGTTGTATTCTATTTTGTCCATGATGACAGTGGCATTGCCTTTGTCGGCTGAGAGGATGACAATGTCATCCCTCTTTTTTAATTGAGCTAATTCAAAACGCTCATCTTTGCTAATGTTGCTAGCTGGCATCTTAGCGTTTTTGAGGGTTACAGAGATTTCAGATCTTGCTACGTCTGCAGCGATGTGACTCAAGCCCTTGAGAGCTACATCTACTCGAGCAATTATATCATTAACTGGTATGTGTCTAGGTGTGACTGCAAAGTTTAGTCCTTTAGCTAAAACGGATTTCAAACCTTCAGAAATAGGACTGTTACTGCGATTAATTACGACTTTGTTAACATCTAGCTTTTCAATGTGTGGGTCCGGTTTCTTGTTTGAGAGGCGGTTGAATTTGGAAATCAAGTTGTCCTTACATTTAGTCGACATAGCGGCAGCTGAAGAGGCAGTCATTTTTTCCACATGT